GCAATGTTAGTCTACGTGCAATGTTAGTCTATGGGCAGTGTTAGTCTATGGGCAATGTTAGTCTATGGGCAATGTTAGTCTATAGGCAATGTTAGTCTACGAGCAATGCTAGTCTACGTGTAATGGTCGTCTATGGTGCAATGTTAGTCTACATGCAATGTTAGTCTATGGGCAGTGTTAGTCTATGGGCAATGTTAGTCTATGGGCAATGTTAGTCTATAGGCAATGCTAGTCTACGGGCAATGCTAGTCTACGTGTAATGGTAGTCTATGGTGCAATGTTAGTCTATGTGCAATGTTAGTCTACATGCAATGTTAGTGTCGTGGATTCAACTGAGTCGCAGACGTACTTATTAGAGGCAACACATGTGTAGTGCCATAAGAGGGGGAGGGGCTGCTGGGGGCTCTGGGATCCTAGGCAGATAAGCCCTCGGCGCCAGGCGCTAGGATTCCCAGTCACCCCAGACAGTTAAGCCCCTTGGCGCCACCAACGGGGGGGGGGGTCTGTGTGTGCTCTGTGGGATATCTGGGGGCGCACACAACCCCACCCCTCGTTGGGGACGAGGCATTAAAGGGCAGCTCCCTGGCCGATCGGGGCCAGTCGCAGCTCAAGACCCAAGACCCGCCAGCCAGCCAGCTTAGGACCCTGGACCCCCTCGTCCCGCTTGTCCTTGTAAGGGCCGGGACGCTATGAGGGCCAGTGGTGGGACTCTGGGACTCCCGGCTCTACGTCCTTGTAAGGGCAAGTTCCGAGGAAGCCAGAGTCCAGACCCGCACCTTGGCTGGGTCGGGTCAGGTAGCCTCCCCTAGGGTAATTGTAGCCGGAGGACCCCAGAGCGTAGCCAGAGTAGTGTATCTAGGCTGTGTACCTAGGCTGTGTACCTAGGCTCTAACAGAGTATCAGGACTGTTGGAGTGTTGTATTGGAGTAAATAAGTTACCTCTACAAGTGTCTCCGGAACCCATTACACATTTATTAACACCAACACGAAACACAAATGGGTTACTGCCCCTTCACCAGATAACCTCTGGTGGTGGACCACCAGGCTAACTACGCTAGTTACTGGGAGCAGCTACAACGGACAGGACCTAGCTTGGGTCCTCGTCCACGTGTTGGTGACTTCTTCTTGGACGTAGAACATAGATCGTAGATCTTCAGATGACCACAGCAACGCTGAGCCCCGGTCCCTGTGCGAACCCCGGTTTATATGCTCCTGGGTCGTGGCTGGCCCCGCCCTTGGCCACGACCACCTTCGAGAAACCTCTCGTCGTTTCTCGACCCTTCCCGTAGGATCTCACCCTGACACGTGACCACCCCCTAGCCCCCACCTGGAGCCCCTGTGTAGATCTTACTGGTCACGTGCCTTACAGAGTCAACCAGCGTGCCATGGCCTAGGGTAACCTCATCCCATGGCTGACACTCTCACACTCGCTCCTGTAGGGGTCGGCACTGCAGCCACACGTGGTGCCACTGAGTACTATCCCAGCGTTCACCGAGCCCCCTCTAGGGCTGGTACTACACCCACCTACGGGGTGTCCGCGATGTGAGTACATCGCACGCCGTGCCCCTCCAGGCCCGGTACCACACAGTGACATCCGCGATGTCACTACATCTGTATACATGCAATGTTAGTCGACGTGCAATGTTAGTCTACGAGCAATGCTAGTCTATGGGCAATGTTAGTCTATGTACAATGTTAGTCTACTGGCAATGTTAGTCTATGTACAATGTTAGTCTACTGGCAATGTTAGTCTATGTACAATGTTAGTCTACTGGCAATGTTAGTCTGCGGGCAATGTTAGTCTTTGGGCAATGTTAGTCTATGGGCAATGTTAGTCTACAAGCAATGTTCGTCTATGGGCAAAGTTTAGTTTGCCGTGAGTTCATGAGCAAAAATAGTTAATTAATGAAACGCCAATTTCTGGATCTTAGTGGACGTGGACGGCAGCAATAACATGCTCACATCGCGGGGCAATTTTCGGAAAATCTGAACGGAGGATAATTTAAGATGTTAAATTATTCTAAAAGCGAACAAGCATGGCGAACGACGCACGGTGCATATCCACGGAAAGAGCCGGATATCAGCACACCGCTTGGGAACAAGACCCGCTGTGCTTCTATTCATAATAGCATGATTGTTTCATAAATTGCCCCTCTTTTACACCACCAGCGTATTGTAAGTATCTTGCTTATATCAGAACTGTACTTGTATTAGGTGCGCTTCTATCCAGATTCAATTGTACAAAAGATGCCAAGGTAGCATACATGCATTTTATACGGTGGAATTTTTTTTACTTATCTCATGCATAATTAGAATCTTGAGCATAATCCTGAATTATTCAGTTCATATGCTAGAGGCATAATGCAGGCTGTAAAAAAAGCAGAATTTAATCAAATTTCTCGTCAATAATTACGAAAGAAATGCAATAGATATCATGGTCATTTTACAACCTCTAAATGGGAAAATCCTCTGCATAGATGTATTTCTGTAACATGGAGTATATCTAATAGCCTACATATACTACGTTTTTAGTTGTCATTTTTAAGCTGGGGGAGAAACCGATTTGGAAAAGAGATTTTAAAAATTCTAACAATATAAACGAGAGCTTTTCGGACAACCCCTCCCCTATCTAACCGAGTCAAATAGAACGCCCCACATCGAGGCAGTCTTGAGATGCATTCATTGATTGGAGAGTTCCTCAATTATCTCCTTCTAATTTTCACTCCCGTAAATTCTAACGAGGGTCTGTCGTGTCGTGGTGCCACACAGGGGTCCGGTGACGGCTGATAAATAAACACGAGTCCGTCAAAGGCATCTGTCAAGACTATTTCACGACGGAGGGCGGGTGCGGAGCGACCTGCAGCGTCTCCTAGCAACCGCTCTCAGGAGGAGGAGGAGGGAGGAGGAATATGAGGAGGAGGAGGAGGAAAAAAAAGAGCGGCACACGCATTAGAATGTGCGCTGCGTGCAGGTGCCGTACGACGTGCACTGCGAATCCACAGCCCCCCCCCCCGCCCCGCCAACCCCCCCCCCCCACCCAATCTCCAGATGTTGTTGGGCCGCGAGACGTGCAATTGTGTAAGAGGTTACGATTCGCTTGCTTGCAAGGGCCTGCCTGCAGAATGCAAATGCGCCGCACTGAGATCCCAATCGAGATTCGTTCTCTCCATCGAGCTGCCATTCATTGCAAATCTGTTGGAATAAACGGCAGCTGAGCAGCAGCAGCAGTCGTGGTACGTGGGACCCCCCCCCCCCCGTGCTGTTCTCCAAAGAGGGGGCAGGTGTTTGGTCGGGGTGTGTTAGTGTGGGGAGCGGTAGTGTAGTGGTTAGCGCGGCGAACCTGGTGACCCGACCTCGATTCGCGCTCATGACCAACACCGGTAGAGATTATCTGAACCGGTCCTGGGCCATCCCCTGGGTCGACTCAGCCTCAAATGAGTACCTGGTGCGATGTGTAAACATCGCCACTGGGGAGACAAAGGCGGCCTGGCGTGGTGCTGGCCACCCACCCCCTCGTGTGCCACAGTGCCGGCCTTCGTAGGTGCTCGCTAACAGCACTTGCCCCTACAGGCTGTTCAGGCTATACGGGGGCTCTTTGTCTTTGCAAGCAAGAGTTGCTGGAGGTGGGGGCTGGTGGACACCTTATAGACGACGATGAATGAATCGGTCTCGCCACGTTGAAGAGACGCACAGAAACCCCGCGCAGGCTGGACGAGGAACGGGACCCAAATTGAGAGGTGCGCCACCGTGGCGCTGGGTGCTGGCAGCGGGCAGGGAGGGAGGGACATTCACCGGCAGTCGCGGCTGCCATCGCGGGCGCCAAGGGTCCTTGGTGGGGGGACGCGTGCGCGGTGGTGGAAGGAGCTGCAGGGGAAGCAGGGAAAGCGCTCGACCCTCTCATCACCATTCAGCTGCTTGTCTGCTTGGCCTTTGCGGGGAGGGGGGGGGATGTGTGCGTTCAGAGGCCCGGAGCCAGAGAACGCGCGCACGTATCCACGAGCGAGACAAAGATCCCCGAAATTTTTTTATCTATTTTTTGTGTTTTTATTTGGGGTAATCGTCGTTAGCGAGCAAGCAGCTATGAAGGCCGGCACGGCACGCGAAGTGTTGTGGGTGGTCATCATCATCACCGTCGTCGTGGTGGTGGCGATGTATACACACCGCACCAGGTACTCGTGAGGCTAAGTCGACCTCACGGAAGCTCAGGACCGAACCGGACAATTCGTCCACTGGTGTTGGCCCTGAGCGGAAATCAAACTCGGGTCACCCGGTTCGTCGCTGTGAGCGCTCCCCGCTACGTACACGATGGCTCCCCCGCACACGCGCACACATGCACAGACCATGGGCTCTTTTCTCGCTTGTCATAGCAACGTCAGCGGTCCAATGGCAACCGCTAAAGTTATGGGATTTGAATTTTGAACGGATGGTCTTTGTGACGGTGGTGGTGTAGCGTCATCAAACGGTTGCGTGGCATTCAACATTGTGTTTATGATGTGTGCGTGTACGCACACAAATAGTTTGCATAGGAACCACCGTAAACCAGACATTTCGATGCATTAACGTCACGGTTTAAATGTCACAATTTATTTTTTGCATCATTAAATGGAACGAAAACAACACAGTGTGCTCACTATCTACATGCAATATTTAAATATATATCGTAACCATATCTCACGTCGTTATTTTGAAGTTGAATACATCCACACGCACTCATTGCAAGAAAAATATGAACACAAATCAAATCTCTCCCGCAGCATTTATTTCCAACGAAGCTTACGTTGATTCAAATACCGCCGATGTAACAATCATCATTACAATCAGAAAAGGAATCTTAATTGTTGGCTTTTTGTATTTCTTTGCAATTGCCATGGTTTGTGTGAATGTGTGGAAGCACGGGCGTGCACATGCACACACACAAACACACGTGCGTGTGCGTGCGTGCGCGTGCGCGTGCACAGTTAAAGGGGGGGGGGGTCTTGCTGCATTCGATTTCATCACCGCTGGCGCGCGCCATATCCCTGCACTGCGAGCGAGCGAGGGAGCTGGCTGGCTGCAGAAACATCCTCGCGATCCTTCCTCCCGCAGACCTCGAGCAGGTAAATCATGCACACCGAGCTTTCACGCGCACGCACGCACGCACGCGTATTAAACAACAAGCAGCACTGTCCGCTTTTACCACTGGCCAAAAAATAACTGTCCTAGCACATTTGCACAGTCCTGTATTGCAGCTCCAGAGAGAGAGAGAAAATAAATATATATTGTTGGATGGTGGTAGGTGTTTTTGTTTGTGTGTAGCATGATTTATTAGCTGGTGTGCGCGTGTGTTTTGAGCAGAACATTCTACGTGTGAAACGCTAGCACTTAGTACTGTGATTGAATGCGCTTCGTGGTGAGAAGCTGCGTATATTTTAAATCAGAAGCTGCCGATATTTGAGATCATGGGTACAAAGCGTGATGTGGCATTTCATTCAGGATCTCGAGCGGCTACATTGGAATTATTATCGTGCACGGTTAATGTCCTCATCCGTGTTGTCATCAATTGATATTGCCTCGCGCAATGTTTTGTTTGCTATTGCTATTGCCGTGCGAAGGAGTCATTCGTCCCGTCAGGATAAGGGTCTGGCAATGTTAATCTGTAAGCACCGCCCGCGCTCTGGGTGTGCGGGCGCTCCCGTGCGCTCCCAGACACGCAACACGCTCCTTGCATGTCAATGCATTCCACTGCTGCAGTATCGCCGCCAAATGTCTAGCGCACATGCTTCGGAGCATTTGCATTGGGTCAGTCGTCCGGCGTTGTCTGATTCCAGAAAACTACGTGCTGATTTATATCATTAAATTGACTCCAGCATCAACGGCGTTTGTAATTAAACAGTTTTAATGTGGACTCTAGCTAAATAATACATTGTCGTTAATTTGATGGGACTGTTCGACTGCATAAAAAAAAACGCACTCCGTTTATTTTTCTGCAAAACGTGAATAGAGTTGTGACATTTTAATTTTTTTAAAGATAAAACGTAATTTTTTTTAAATCAGCGTCTCAAAATTGACCATTTTAAAACAAATACTATACCAAAACCTGTCTTAAAGGCTGAAACTGCCTCGTTTTTTTCTCTCCCAAACACACAGCCGCTGTGAATTCTTTTGATGTTGCACAAATGGAAAAATCGCGACCACAAGGTGCGGCCGTGTGCGGTAGATGTGGCTGAAAATTGTCAATGGAGGGGTGACATCTTGGGGGTGTGTGCCATAGGGGCCCACGCTGCTGTTGCGATCGATACAAATCCGAGCATCCATCAGAGCATCCAAGCTCCATCACATCCTACGTTCTGTTCAGCTATGTCTGTTCCGATCAAACCGTTCACAGCACGAAGCAACAGGCTGTGCGTTACCACACCCTCCCACCTCCCATGATATATCGGTATTTAAATCATTTTTCCTGCCCAGCTATAAAATTACCATTCACCGTGGTTATTTTGAGAGTTCGGTGCGTAAAATTGATGTATTTTAATGTAGCTATTAGAAATTATGATTTAACCCAAAAAATTACAATGCGCCGCTTTTAATTGTAGAAATCGTAGATTGTATTATCGTGCGCTGTTCGTGCTCCGAATGCTATTATTTGGAATCGCGGGCGTTTCTGCTTTCGGTTCGATAAAAAACAATATACATGGACCAATATCTGCTCATGAGCACGTGCAGTTGCTTTGTAATTAACGCATTCAATTAACACTTATCTTTTAACCAATTTGTCAGACTGCATTGTATGTTTCATCCGCGATCGTCGTAGATTTTGGGCAACATATGTCCCTGAAGACAGAATCGCGCGGTGTCTCTCCGACCCCAGCAAGGAGCTGGAGCGGGTAAAGGGTTACACGGCGCAAACATGAACGGCCCCCGTCTCTCTATATTTATTTATTTACCCGCTTTGCAGATAAAGACAAGGGCCGGACACAGCGGACGCAAGCTCCTCTTGCAATCAAACCGACCGCGATGGGCGTGGCGACATCACAGAATTCCGCGCCGGAGTCGCCCGATGACAGTGGCATGGAGGGTAGTTGGCAAAACTGGGACATCCCTTGCCCCAGCCCGATGGAGCTGTGGCCCAACGGGAGCGATATGCCCTGGGGTGCTTTCAACGGAACGAACATCACGTGTAACGGCACGGAGGGCTACTCCACGTCGCCCATCGTGGTGAGCATCATCACGGCGCTCTACGCCGTCGTGTGCGTCGTGGGCCTCATCGGAAACATCCTGGTCATGTACGTCATATTGCGGTAAGGAGCTGCACCGCACGCCACACTCGCGCGCGCTCGTTCCCCAGCGGTGCCCAGCCAACCCTCGTTTCATTAATATTGCATTTGTTTTTTGTGCAAACTGCTGCTTGGTTGCGGGGAGTTCAAACCATATCTCTGACTGAAATATGCGAATTGCTTGCTGGGTTGTTGATATTTGGCCGAGGCTGCAGCAGAATTTATTTTACCCGAAGTGTGAATTGTGCTTGGGATGTGCTGCGCATTGTGCAAAGTTGCTTGGAACGCTGCTGCTGCTGCAAAAAAAAATGAACGTGGCGGCATTATGTAACCAGCCTAATTTCAAAAGACATTGTGTCAGGGCTCTTTCTGCAATGTGACAGCATAGTCAGCTGATCTATCAGCCGTTAAAATAATCTTCTACCTTTACCTGCTCATGCATCCGTCTCCTAAAAGCATCCAAAATGACACACTTCAAATGGGTCCCACAATATTAACTTTAAGCATTCCACCACCATTATTCGTCAACTCCCAGGGTGGGCTTAAATATAGAACGTGGAGATATGAACCTTATGGCAGGACCCCGAGGTCCCGAAGTCAAAATCGTAATTAATTTATTTTTGGCGACTCCGTCCCACCGCGCACATAAACGCCGCGACCCGCCTGGCGCGGATCATTCTGTTGTCGTGTCTTGTCCAAGCGCAGCAGCGAGGATGAATGCGTGCAGAAGAGCTGAACAAGCGAATGCACTCCATGCTCGGGTTTGGGCAGGATCATAAGTCTTATCATCCAAAGCTGCTTAAACTGCCTACACGAATCAAGTCCTTTATTTGTCATAATGGTATGCATAATACAGTGAAACTGCTCTCTTATCTTCATTTTTTTTTGTGACCTACCAATGTCTGCAGCCAGTATCAATCGATGACAATCATATTACCTGCAGATATTTAACAGATGAGATGCGTCGCACCGTTAATTCCTCCTGTTTGATAATACTTATCTTGTCCGTATTCATCTGTGCAGATAGGTTTTTTTTGCGGTTAAGCCATAGTCCCCACATACCGCTCGTATCAATGCGGATAAGAGGAGCGGCGACCCACTACTCTGTAGAGTAACATTGGTATAAACGCTTGTTACAATATGAACAGCGCATTGAAGACGCGCACTATTTTATGTACTGTTTACAAAGTGTGTTCACAAATCCACACGGAGAGACACGATGATTGACAGAGGGGTGTAAATTACCTTTTCGATAGTGTATTTAAATAGAGGTACTCTAGGTAAATAGTTTTCAGATTTAAATGCATAGTTTAACAAGACAACACTTGCCACCATCCTTCAAACCCATTGGTGAAAAAGAGCAAAGTTTTTGTTGACATTATAATATAATGTTTATGCGAGAGCCGGGGGCTTATGGGACCCCTGGGACCCGCCATGAGGTTAATTTGTCTGTACGTTTATCAATGAAGGCTGAAACACTTTTTTTATCTACTATGCGAGGTATACTCTGTCTGAAAAACAAAGATCAATTTTTTTTATAGGGAGCAGTGGAATTTAGTTCATCCACTGAACAATGAGTCTATCCATCAAGATTACATTCTTGACTGTGCACACAAGCGGCATTTGGTATCAGAACCTGGCCCGAGCCTTCTCCAGATTGAATGATGTACCAAGCGTGACCATCAGTCAGTGTTCCACGAATTTTTTTGCTAAAAGGATTTTGTTAAAACCCTACGTGACTTTACCGAAAAAAATCAAAGAGTATAACAGCATTTTCCCAACAGTCTTTGCAGAGACAGAGGTATCATGCATGGCACATACAGGTCTATACTGTCACCACATACTACATGCATGAACGTGACCCTTACTGATATTATATTTTCCTGCACCACGTTAATGTTTAAAAGAAAAACTGTTGTTGGAAATAAATCACGGGTGCGCACATGTGCTCGCCCATTTTCAATACACTGCTGGATGAGGGCTTCTCTGCACTAAGCTGGTAGTAGGGGTCATTTGACAAACGTCCCCATGGCTGGTCAGTGCAGGTTGGTGAGGCAGGGAAGTGGGGGAGAGCATGGATATAAAGAACAATAGATGTTTGTTGTCCACCGTGTAGCCCCACGGGAGCCTTCAACACCTGTTTGGCTTGGTGGTCACTCATCCAAGCACTATCCAAGCTCAACTTTGCTTAGCTTGATCACATTCAAGGTGAATTGTTCATAGGCTCATTGGGAAAATGATACATTAAATATGGTATGAATATAAGCTTATCCGCAACATATATGAAGGTTTCAAACAGACATTCGGATTAATGCGTACGCACCTCACGTGCAGGTTTTGAGTAGATTAATTATTAACGTTGTAGCATCGTTAGAGATGGATTGGGAAGGCCTTCATCCAGCAGTAGACTGGCCGAGGCTCATTATGAATCAGCACATCACATTTTTACTTTGACATTTGATGGGGCCATGGGTAATGGTGGCCCAGGATGGTTTTGAATGCAGGATGGAGTGTGTGCACAACTTTGTGTGGACGTAATGTGCTTTGTAAGATTCATTGAGAATTTCACTGCTTTATTTAAATGGTAAGATTACACACATGAACAATTCCGGGAACAGCAGAGTTTAAAACGTTTTCTCAAATTTACATTACATCGTAACTTCTGTAAAAATGTTTTTTTATTTACTGTGCATTGTTCGTAGAATTTTTTGCATTCTGCTTTCCCTGGAAAACTCAACAAGTATATGAATAAGAACAACACTTAACACAACACCGGCATTGGAGGTGGCTCAGGTGTCAGAGATCCCGACGAGAACCTGGAGTTCAAATCTGGGTTTCAGCCCTCCACGATGAAACTGGATGTTTAAGTGTTGCGAGTTGAAAGTCTCCGATTGGTAATCGATCAATGATTCAACAAAAATCCTAAACTTTAAATGTTGGGGTTTTTTGTTGTTGTTGTTGCTGAAATTGGCTTATTCCTGGTTTCATAATTACCTCCGGTTGGATTGCCATGCAAAGGACATCTCTTTGCAGGGCATCTATAAAATAAGTAATATTTAAAACAACGTTTTTTAAAAACACGCTTTTATGAAATGTAATAGTAATGGAAGAACTCCACGACTCCATGAAGTGGCCCCGAAGCTTGCCATAACGTAAGAGACCGTGGCCAATTACAGCCAACGTCAGTTGACCGTGGACAATTAGACCCAAGCCGAAACATAACATATAAAAAATAATGTAAAAAACAATATATTTTTTAATGATAGAATATAGTATTGTCATCAGTATGACATAAGTATACCAAGTTTGCAGTCGATACCACATTGGGAAGTGGGTTAAAATTGAGTTACAAGATTTGAGGATACAACAACGACAACAACGACAACAACAACAACAGACAGAGTGAGTTAAATGAAAGCGTGTAAAAAGGTGTGCCCCGAGTGTGGAATCAGAGGCCTGTTGATGTCACCCCATGAAGTCGTCGTTCTGTGACGTCATCTCCCAGGGCTCTTCTTTGACACATGCGAGGCCAGCTGCAAGAGATCTGAATGGAAATTTCCGTCGTCTCGCGACATAATGGGGGGGAGGGGGGGTTGGGGGAATATGTAAAAAGAAGCGGTCCAGATGGCAGGGTGGAGACGAAGATTTACGCTCGACATGTGCGTGGCAACCACCTGAAGAGAGCATTGAGGTAGCAGCTGCAGGCAGCGGAACAAGTAGGCTGGCGACCCAATCTGTGTGGAGTTTGACAGTTCTTCCCACAACCATCATCAATCCACTGCTGGATGATAATCTCCCCAGGCTGTCGCCACCTCACAGTCACGTGATGTAATGATCCCTTCCCCCCCCTGCCCCTCAATTGCATCGGTTTTTATCAATCCACTCTTAGTCTCTTCACACAAGAAAAATACTAAAAAGCAGTATATTGGCCAACATCTCAATGCATGAAAAATAAGAATAAGTTTGACCCCTTTCTGAGAGTAAAACAGGCGTTAAGATGGTCAAACACCAAATAGATACCTCTTTGCAATGAATCGAGTCGACATTAACCACACGTACTTGGAGTGAATATGCAAACAAACAAGCATTGGTAATTTATGCATCGCTTTTGAAACTGATTGGCCTGCACTTGAAACAGTGTCAGACGAGTGAATGCCAAAGGCGAACAGTTCAAAGACAATGCAAGTTCTAGATTTGAAGCTTTCGTGACTGGAAGGATTCATACTCTTTGGTTTTTTCGGTAAAGTCACGTAGGTTAAAGAAGAAAACAAATAAATTAAATCACGACGTTTCGGAGGCAACACAAGCTTCCGTCTTCAGGTGAAACCGTCACAGCAAAATTGCTGTATCAAGCAAGAGCATTAATGGTTCGGGGGTGAGCAGCTTCATCATTGGACCTTTTTTTGCCAGTCTTAAAGTATGGAAATAAAAGTAGGGTTTACCCTGATAATCGGTTTCCCCCTTTTTCCCGGCAACAAAACAGGTGTTAAGATGTTAAAACACCAAACTGAAACCTTTTAGAAGGAATCATGTCTGCATTAACCACAATACTTGTGGTCAGAATGCAAGCAAAAAACGTACTCTGATAATATATGCATTGTCCTTGAAACTGGTTGATCCACACCAGAGACAGCTTTCTTTTGAGCCTCGTCTCAAAACGGTGTTAGACCAGAGGAGTTTCTATTTGGTGTTTGAACGTCTTAACACCTGTTTTATTTCCAGAAAGGGTAAAACCTATTGTTATTTCTTTTTTATGCTTGACACTGGCAAAAAATATCCCTTGACATCCCCAATGCACGATGCATCTCCCGAAGCAGTTTTTTTAGAAGAGTCGGGCTTCCTGGGCAAATGGATGTTATTATACAACTCCGTGTTTCAGATGCCAGGTACGAGACGTTTTCTGCAAAGGGGCACTTTCGAAAATGGATGCCAAATAGGCTTCGTGCTGCCCTCTGAGGCCGTTATGCAATCTGTAGGTTTCAGCAACATCATTGTAAGCCGTGCACGGATAACACACACTGCGG